TAATATAAAGAAAAAATAATTTTGAAAAAAATAGCATTTTTGTAAAAATTTAAAAAATGTGATATTTTTGTAAAGTGGAACTTGAAAAATAGCATTTTTTTGAAATTTCTGTAAAAATATCCAAGCTCCTAATTCATTAGGCATGACTTTATGGGCATGTTAGAAGCCTGGCCGAAGGAGAAACGAACCATATTGGCCCAAATCCCCTTTGGAGGTCTAATAACATCAAAACGAGTGTATCCGAAGCCATTGAAGGAAAACTCCAATCACCAATCAACCGATTGCTTATTCTTTACCTATTTTGGAGTATAATGAAGATACCAAAGGTCTTAAACCAATTGATCTAGCAAACATAGGCGTTCAAATCAAAAGATCCATTCATAACTCCACTTACTTCATTTGGAAACGCCGGAATAAAGTTATGCTCTTTCCAACAACTAGCTCCATCAATTTGACCAAGTATTAAAAAAATTAAAATGAGTTAAACGTTTTATACTAACGATTAAATTAGTCATTAGTCGAATTTTTAAATGAGTTAAAGATTGTTGTGAATAACTTGGTCATTAGTATAGACGAGCTCTATAAAAATCCAATAAATTTGAGTGTTTGTCTCTTGTCTTTGCTTGTGTTTATTTGTTGAGTGTCTCTCCCTTAAACAGTTAAACCTGAGTGCTTTGAGCTTATCACAAGGTCTTACCTGACATTATTTTATTTCACCATCAACCTCAATCCTATGCAATTCGGCTTCAAAAAGATCGCTCGTCGGCCAGCTTTGATTCGATCCCCTTCCGCGGCTTCATATAAGACTTTGACCATCCGAGTTATATATCAGAATGGATTTGGAGAAAACAAGCCCTTATCGGAATACAGCACCAGCAATGAAGCTTTTCAACACTTCATTCGGAGTTAGAAACCTTCATTCAAAGCAATGAAGAACATAATAATCAAAGATAGTTGTCCTTTTCAAAACCAAACGTTAGAGATCAAATCAAGAACCAACTTCATCGATTCACTTTATTATGGAACCAAATTCATCATCAATCCCATTTAAAACCATCCAACCAAACCACAAATCGATTCGAATACAAATTCAAGTAAAAACACAACTTCCAAATTTTCAATTCAGAACCTTTGAAGTTTATCCGCCTTGACAACAGGATTCGCTTTCGCAATCTCACCACGACCACTCTCTTTGAAATCAAAGCTGCATTCATGAGTCTCCGGGTACCGATGATCACCACAATAAGTGTTCCCACATTTGCACTTAAACCCAATGACCCCAACCTTCTTGTTACAACAAAGACACCTGTTCGGTCTCGAAGGTTTTAATGGCTCGCTCTGTTCAGGAACTGGTTCAGCCACCACAGCAGCAACGACGGTTTTCTCTTCGGTTTTCTTCGCGGCTGGTTCTGGCTCTGCAATGAAGAGACTAGATGGCTTCAAAGATTTTTCCACTGCAGCTTTAGCAACAGCTGTTTGAGCTTCTTCTGCACATCTGCTTCTGTAACATTTAGAGCATAGATTCATGTTTGATGGTGATCCAAAGAAACCACATCCTGTTGCACATAGCTTTGGCTCTGAAGATTGCGTGAAGCTCGTACTATCGTTTTGTTCAGACCCCATTATCGATTCTTCTGTATAAAATTATATTCAAAAATTCACATTCAAAATTCGTCAGAACAAGATCTTGTCAGGTTTCCGAGGATGATACAATCAAATCGACATAGATCGAGTTAATTGAGCTTTCGTTATTTCAATTTTATTCATTAAAATTCCACAAATCCAAACGGAAATTGGAAATTTTGTGTGATCACAAAAGAAAAAATCATCGATTACAAGTAGATCTGAGTTTTGGATACACAAAACACAAAGCCCTGTTTCAAATCGGACAAGGAAAACCAAACACAAGAACAAATCATGAATCAAATAATCAGATAAAAAATAAAGGAGAATTATACCTTTTTTAGAAGGGAGATTTCTTTCCTCCTTCTCGTTTTTTTTTTTTTTTGAAAATATATCTACAAAAAATTCACAAGTTTTTTTTTCTCAGTAATCGATAAATCTTCGTGAGATGTGTGTATATTTGATTTTGTTCTTAATCGATAAGAATTCACAGAAACGAAACCTTTCGTTTTCGAGAAAAGAGAAAGAGAGAGAGAAAAGCCAAACACGTAACTATGGAGGAAC